CTATTTTTACGTTCCACCACTCCATTTTGTTGTGGTGTACGTGGGGCTGAGAAATTATGATCAATGCCGAGTTCGTCACATAAATTTGAGAATAGATTTCGTTCGAACTCTCCCCCATGGTCGCTTCTTATGGCTACTATGGTTGTTTCTTTTTCATTTTGAACTTTCTTTACAAAATTTTTGAAAACGTGAAATGCCTCACTTTTGTGAGTTAGAAACAAGGTCCTTGTAAACCTAGAGTAGTCATCGACAATCACAAACGCAAAGTAATTACCACCAAAACGTTTCATTCTAGAAGGACCAAAGAGATCCATGTGCAAAAGTTGAAGCGGTCTAGACGTTGAAACAACGTTCTTAGACTTAAACGAAGCCCGAACTTGCTTCCCCTTTTGACATGCATCACATATGGTGTCTTTTTCAGACTTAAGTTTTGGAATGCCAATTACTAAGTCTTGTGAAACCAATTTGTTCAAAAGGTTCATGTTCATATGAGCTACCCTTCGGTGCCATAACCAAGTGTCTTCCTCTTTACTCATGAGGCACTTAGCAAAGCCGGAAGGAGATTTGTCTAAGTTAACCATATATATGTTATCGATTCTATCTCCACGTAGAATGACCTTATTGTCACTAAGGCGTTCTACCGTGCATGATTTTGAATCGAAGGTCACACGGTTTCCCTTGTCACATAATTGACTTATGCTCAAGAGATTGTGTTTAAGACCTTTGACTAGCAAGACATTATCTATAGAAGAGTCTTCGGACTTACCTACCGAACCGATGCCGATAATTTTTCCCTTGCTATTATCTCCAAAGACTACGTTTTCTCCTTTAGCGGGTTTGATTTGTAGGAACTTGGATGCATCTTCGGTCATGTGCTTGGAGCATCCGCTATCAAGGTACCAAAGTACACTTGATGCCTTCAAGCACACCTACACAAATGATTTAATAAGATTTAGGTACCCAAGTCTTTTTGGGTCCTTGAGTGTTAGGTGCAAAGTGGTAGTGTGATTCATTTTGTGCCCAATGCCTATGCCTAGTAAAGCAAACGGGAGCTATATGTCCTACCCTATTGCAATAGTGGCAAACTACGTTTGGGTTGTGCATTCTTCTAGGTTGATAATAGTTGCTAGGGGGCCTAACCATATTCATCCTATTTTGGGAAAATATTGGTTTTTGAAAATTCTCTCTTCTAGGTGTTCTAGCATTATTTTGTCTATTTGAGAAATTATTTTTATGAACAAATTCATTTTGATAGTTTTTTTAGGTTGTCTAACATGCACATTTTCATTCCTAGGCTTTTGTCTAGGTTGTTTAGTGTCCTTAGGTTGACTAGATTTTCTATTATCCTGATTTTTACCTTTCTTATGTTGAGCCTTAGGAGGTTGTCTAGGTGTTTGCTCAACGTTTTTATCCTTAGATTCATTTTTATCAAAACCTAGTCCTTCCTTAGAAAAATGCATAGTGTCAAGAAGTAAGTTAAGATCTTTGTGTGGTGTATTGAATTTCTTAACCGTACTCTCAAGTTTTGCAACCTTTTTTTTAAAGCTTTGCAAGATTCACATTCGCTTGAGGAGCTTTCTGGTTTGACAGCGCTTCTTTTGCCATAAAATTTATTTTCTTGTTTCAACTTTTCATTTTCTTTTTCTTGTTTTTCAAAATCATTTTCAAGAGTTGAAAGACGTTTCTTTAATGATTTGTTGGTTTTAGAAGCGCTAACAAATTCATCATAAAGCTCTCGAAGTGCTTCTTGCATCTCTTCAAAAGTGTAAGAGTCGGAAGAAGGGGTACATACCTCTTGTACTTCGTCGGCGTGGTCTTCGTGTGCCATGAGACAAAGGTTGGCGGCTTCTTCCTATTCTTGATCAGTTGACTCGTCGCCGGAGTCGCCACCCCATGAGATATAGGCATGTTGCTTTTTGAAGCCAGGTTTGTCCTTGCCGCTTTTGCCTTTTGGACACCTCGGCTTGATGTGGCCTATCTCGCCACAGCCATAGCACTTCGGGGGACCGTCGTGCTTTCTTCCTTTCCATTCAAATTCTTTCTTCATGAATTTGTGGAATTTCTTGATGACAAGTCTGAACTCGTTGTCGTCATCGCTTGAGACTTCTTCCACGGTCTCCTTGGTTGCTTTCAGCGCTATTCCTTTCTTCTTTTCTTCATCCAAAGACGGGGTTAGAATAGTAGATTCATAAGTTTTGAGGTTACCTCTTAGCCCGTCGATGGTGACATTGGAGACTCTGATGGATTCGAAGATTACGTCAGCCTTTGATCTCCATTCGGGTGTGAGACTCCGCAGGATTTTCCTCACGAGATCCTTGTTGGCTGATAAGAACATTTTGTTCTTATCATTTTTATCATATTTTAGCGTTATTGCACGTAAATAGTATTTAATCGTTTCATTACTTGTGCATTTCATGGATAAAAATGCTTTAATTTGTTTTACTAGTCATAAAAAGGGTCTTTAAGGAAAATCGATTCAAATCTACCATTTCATGACTAATTATGTGAGAAAAGGGTAAAATTATCAACTCCGGGTCAAAGATGGACTCCTCCTAGGTCAAGATTCGCACAATAGGCCAAAAAGGAACGAAATGGGGCCCAATTGGACCCCAATCCGCATAGGTCACGGAAGACCATTCGTGCGCCGCAAGAACTAGAAGCCGAGCCGTCCCGCCCAGACGCCTGGAGGGGGGGACGCTTGGATTTTCGGACGCTTCAGGTTTCGTCTTCCCCAAGATTGCCACGCGTCGCCACCAAAATGGATCGGGAGCTGAGGCGTCCGCAGCCAGACGCCTCGGGTGACGCTTGGGGCTGGGACGCCCGGGCTCCTATTATTATAAATACGGACCCTCCCCTGTCATGAACCATCATCACATCAGCAGCAGTTTTCTGCCTTTCTCGGGTTTTACACCCCTTTTTTTACAGTTTTTTCATATTTTAGTAGTTTAGGAATATTTTTAGGGGTACTTTGTAGCATTTGTCGCCCAGACCTCTTTCCATGATTTTGTGCTATCATTCTGCTTGTCCGGAAGTGGTAAGTAGATCTCTTTTAATATTATACCGTTATTTTAGTTCATTATTTCCATAGTATGAGTTAGGGTTCGGACCCCTAGGGTCCGGGCTAGTTTGTGGTTATGCTTTTTATTACTGAATTAATGCTCGAATTTTTATTCTGAATTTACTCTCTCCTTAACTGGTTAATTAATATAGAAATATTTAATTAACTTTTTATTGAGAAAATATTTTACGCCGAAAGACTGAATTATTCAAGATCTGTTTAGGGTAATCACGAATCTAGAAATAGATGAGAGGTAGTAGAAATACGATTTTTCCAATCATTAATTTAGTTAATTTAAGTAAACCCTGTTAGCCTTGGTTTGCTAAGCCTCATGTTTTGATGTTAACAAACAATATAAGAGCTTAACGTTTGTTTAAGTGTTTTAGGTAAAACAAGAATCCATTAAGATTCGGTACTCAAGAATGAAGTCGAAATACTAAACTAGCGTAGAATATAGGTAGAATATAGGTTGGAACACTATTCCTGATTGCTGATTTTTGAATTAATTCAACTATAATCACCTTCTAACGGCTAATTAACATCTTCCACTATAAATATAGGCCTAATACTTCATATTTCAACAAGAAACAAAGCTCTAAACATCCTCTCTTTTTATTCTAAGTGTGTTCATCCTTTTATCAATTATTTTCAATATTTTGGCTATTTCAAGAGCCTAAATTCCTGAATTTTATACACACATATTGAGCTTGTGTTTCTAGTTATATACTCTCATATTCATAAGTTTGAATTGTATTTTTGAGAGAGTATACTTTCCTTCTACACCGGCTAAGTTTTGTTCTTCATTTTTATATTCTAGCCGTTGTGTAGAACCTTTGTTTGTGTTCTTCAAACACACCTTCTTACGGTCGAGAATAGCCGTTAAATTCTCACGTTGTAACGGTTAAGGATAGCCATATAAATCCTTGGATAGAGGTTCAAGGATAGCCTTTGAAATCCTTCGGGGAGCGGTAGAAGATAGCCGTTAAATCTTCATTGTAAACGGTTCGAGATAGCCGTGGTAAAATCTCGGAGTGAATCCTATTGGCAAGGGTTGTTTGCCAAACTAGTGCGGTGCTTTGACGGAGTTCAAGAGACCGGGACTTAGTGGATTCGGAAATCCTTGAGGAGGAGCCTCGAGGTACTGGAGTAGGGTTTTCCGAACCAGTATAAATTCGGTGTGCATTTTATTTACACTTTTATTTTTGCGTTTTATATATTGCTTCCGCATTTGCCAATACCGTTTTTATTAAACTCCGAAAAGATTTTAAACGCCTTATTCACCCCCCCTCTAAGGCGTGGGCACAACGACTAAACCGACTAACAAACCCAAATGATGTCCTGGCCCTAGATCCAATTCCTACTTGTACTATGTGAATAAATTTATTTTCTTGTATTTATTATTTCTTTTTCACCTTTTATTTTCGCATCGAGAAGACTTCTAAAACCAATCCAAATCTTCGCCTAACTAGAGAAGTTGATTTAATTCCCTTCGTCCACTCCTCTAGAGAACGACAACTCGGGGATAAAACTAACCCTTTACTGGGAAGGTTTATACTCCAAAAAAAACTACTCGATCAAATTGGCGACGTTGCCGGGGAGTGGCACGGTATTAATTTAGTTTCTTCTGGTTAGCTTAGGTGAGGATCGGTTAGGTCGATTTTCTCACATCTTTTACACAATCCACCCATAATAATTATGGATAACTCCAATTGTTATGGTCCGCCTTCTTACTGTCCACCACCAAACCGCCCTCCGTATCTAAATCCGCAAACCTACCACCCACATCAAAATTATTTTGATGATGACTATCCAGTCAACAATGGGTGTGACTACTATCCGAACCATGAGGAACCCCCATGCCAATCCCAACCCAGTGACTATGGAAACTCTCCATATAACTGTAGGGATTATTATGAACCTCATGGAGATCAATATGATTATGACCAACATGGGCCTACGTGCGACTACCAGCTTAATCCATATGAGGAAGAGCTTCGAGAGGCCGAGAATAGGAGAGAAGAACTTGATGAGGAATTAATGAACGAAGATCCATCCTATCAACCCCCTCCCCTCCACAATTATAATGACCACTCTGTTGCATTCAAGCTTGAATGGAACAAGAGGGCCATTGAGTGGAGATTTAACCGAATTGCCCAACTCCGAGAAGAAAGAGCTCAACGTGAAAGGGATGCGAAGGAATTTTACGATAAAGAAAATGAGGTCAGGGAACTTGATCGATTATTAGCGATGCACAACGTATTTTTCATGTCCCCTGCGTATGATCGGTACGATGAATTGTCTCCTGAGTTTTGGAGGAAACACATGGAGCAACATATTCGTATTCGATCAGACAAACTCAATTTCTTAGAAGAACAAGCAGATTATGACCTTCGAGCCCAAGAAGAGTTGGAGCAATCAAGAGAATGGGAGCCGCATCAAGTTGATCAAGAAGAGATTTACCTAGACCCTATTCTCGAAGATTCACAAGAACCTGCTCCAGCACAGGAACCTGAGTATAGCATGACCCAGCAGTTGCTCACTCAGGCTATTGTGATGGAATTACCTGAATGCCCTCCTAGCGGCAAGGTCGTACGTAAGGTGGAACCAACTGAGGAACCTGACTCAGAACCACCTCTACAATCCCCAATAGAAGAAAAGGATGAGGAAGTTGTCCCCGTGACAATAGACTCACCTCTTCTTACCTGTGTTGAAGACACAACTCCAGAGGAACCTGTTCTGGAGGAAATAGAGCCCACTACCTACCCCCTAGATTCCAAAGAGTCTGAAGAGGAATCTATAGACGAGGAAATACTTTTCTAAGAAGATCCAACTCCGTCTAAAGAAACCTTTGTAATTAATGATTCACCAGTAGACTCTGACCAAATCTTCTTCGACTCACTACTTGACGGGTATGACGATGTTTGCCTGAAGGATAGTTGGAGTCAAATGAGCTGGGATGATCTTCTAAGTGACTTGGAAGACTCTTCTGTAGGGGTATAAGACGTCATAGTCATTGAGCCACAATTGGATAGTCAACCCATTAAAGGTTCGATAGAAATCAATCTAGCAACTAAGGCCAATGTTGTGGATCTATTAAGGAGACCTCCGCCACCACCCACCAATTACAAGTCTCCTCCGTTTATCCTACTGCCACCTAGCCGCAAGGAGAAGTCAAGGATCCTGGACCCTTGCTATGCAAATTATCAATCAAGGTGGCATCAGAAAAGAGTTCGTAGGGCCAAACTCTACGATGCCCGGATCGGAAAATCGCGGAAAAAGTGATTAAAGCGTCAAGCTACGGACGTTAAAGAAGCGCTCAACGGGAGGCAACCCGTCATTTAAAAATACAAAAATATTTACATTTCTCTTACTTGCTTTACTGTTTCTACTTGCCGCACTAGTTCTGGGGGCAAGATTTTACTTGTTTACACTTCTTGTTTCTTTGAAGATGGACGCTGCTTGGATGATACCACATGGTGATCAACGCACGTTGCACGACCTGGACGCTCTGCCATTCACCTCTGATGAAGCCAGAAAGAAGTTCTTGATCTGGGGAAATCAGAAGTCACTCCAGCCCCCATTAGAGTTAGACCCCGCGACCCTGATTGAGAGTGGGCACTGGGAAGAAATTGACGAGTTTCTCTATGATCCAAAGTGGAGCACTACGTCAAAAACAGTGTCAGACGACTGTTGATTAACTACTGTTTATGGAAAGACAGTAGTTAAAAAAATCAGACTACTGTTTGTTGTTGTTGGCTACAAAAGTAGTAGTCTAGCTATTATGCTTAAAACTAATTTTAAAGTTTCGAGAAATGGTTTTCTATTATTAGTTGTCTGTGTCATATCAAAATGCAGTTTTTGTTATCACAGTTGTCAGTAATAAGTTAAGAATACTCTTTTTAAACAATAGTCTAGTTATTCAGTCTAGAACTGTTTTTAAAGTTATGAGAAACAATAATCTATTGTCAGTTGTCTATGTCATATTGTATTTTTGGCACTGTTGTTTATTTTAAGAATACAATACTCTTTTTTAACAATAGTCTAGATACTTAGCCAACATCTGTTTTTAAAGTCCATAGAAACGGTAATCTATTAGTAGTTGTCTGTGTCATATCAAAATACGATTTTTGTTGCCACAATTGTCTCTCATAAGTTAAGAATACTCATTTTCAACAGTAGTCTGGCTATTTAGCCTAGAACTGTTTTTAAAGTTCTGAGAAACAATAATCTTTTACTAGTTGTCTCTGTCATATGGCTTTTGTTGCCATAGTTGTTTATAACAAGTTAAGAATACTCATTTTAAATAGTAGTCTGACTATTAAGCCTAGAACTGTTTTTAAAGTTCTGAGAAATAGTAATCTATTACTAGTTGTCTGTGTCTGATCAAAATACGCTTTTCGTTGCCACAACTGTCTATAATAAATTAAGAGTACTTATTTTACACAGTAGTCTTGCTATTTAGCCTAGAACGGTTTTTAAAGTTCTAAGAAACGGTAATCTATTACTAGTTGTCTGTGTCATATAGTTCTTGTTACCACAATTGTCTATAATAAGTTAAGAGTACTCTTTTTTAAACACTAGTCTAGCTATTAAGTCTCGAACTATTTTTAAAGTTCCAAAAAACGGTAATCTATTACTAGTTGCAATCATACAAATTGCATTTGATAAATGTTTTTTTTTAATTTTAACCAAAAAAAGTGAAATTCTAACATATTACGAACTGAGAGATTTTTTATTTTCAACTAAAATTTTAATTGATAAAAAGGAAAAAAGTTAAGGGGTGTGGCATCTCTAAAGAACATGTACAAGAAGCCAAAAGATAATAAGAACAAAGCCTAAAAGAGATTTAATGATAGAGTATATGTGAAGAATTCCAACGAGATTGAATCAAAGAAAAAAAGTTTAAAAACAAGAGAGAAGTGATGGGTTAAGAATGAAAGGTGTTTGCAAGATCGGCTCTCCTGCCAAGCAATACAAACCAATTGAAAGGATAGTCCAGCAAGAGAAGCAGACCATACAAGTTCTTACTTTACATTTTATGTAATCCAGTGATAGCTAGCTTACTCAAACTTCAGTTTCTTGAATTGTTCAACTAGTAAAGAAGATGTCTAGCTAACTTAACCACCCTCCATGAATGAAGTAGGTTGGCGGTTAATTCCAATGGGGGCGTCCCCTGGTGCTAGCTAACTTTCCTGCCCAGCAAAAGCACGAGTATACCCAATTTAATGATTATTAAATGGTTCAGAAAAAGCCAATGTAGACTTTCAAACCCTG